TAAAAGATAACCTATAGCTATGTTAAAAGTTCAGAAATGCCAAATGTTACTAGATTTGTGAAGTTAAACTTTGACCCTTTCTTGATATTTTATAGAGGATACCTGAAAAGTAGTAAAGATTCTTTGAAATGAAAGATTACTATTTATGTTTTGTTTAAACTACTTTTTAAAATAATAATAATAATAATAATAATAACCTCTATAGTTTTATTGGTTTGGGTTGCCAGTAGTTTTAAACATTCATTTTACTGTTCTTTTCCTTTGCTGTATTAGTTAAAATGAAAAAGTACAAATGTGTATCTTTTGTGCCAAGCATTCTGTTGAGGTATACATATAAATAATTATAAATGCTGTGTTCTTTATTTTTCTTAACCTTTCTTTAGTTGAAAAAATAGAAGCTTCTGCACAACTGAAAGAATTAGTTTCAGATTTATCTTCACCTTTTGTCTTCTCACCTGCTTTAAGGACCAGGCGAAAAAATACATCTAAGACATCCAAGCTTGTAGGTGAAATGGTAAGGAATGCATGATTTTAGTTCTGTGCTTGTTTAAACAGGGTTGGTTTTTTGTTGTTGTTGTTGTTGTTTTTAAAGCAGTATCTCTTAAACTTCTTTAAAGATAGACATTTATACTAAAAGTCCAAAATTGCCTTGTCTATACCTTTGGAGAGGAGCTCTGGTAGCATAGTACCTAAGGCACTTAACTGCTAACCAGAGGGCTGGCAGTTCAAACCCACCAGCCATTCCTTGGAAGGAAGGTTGGGCAATCTACTTCTGTAGTGATATTGCCTCGGAAACCCAAGGAGGGGTTGCTATGAGTTGGGGCACATAACAACAACATACCTTTGGAGACCATATCCTTTAAGTCAGGTTTGTGGCGTGTTACTGATGGTATTACTGGCAGCTGCAGTTTAAATTATATTCTCTTCTGACTTATCTATGATCTCACTATCCAACATTTCACGTTTACAACAACAATAACAAAAAAAATCTACTACCCAACTATTTTGCACATTAACAACATGTCTGGCCATAACACATGGCTGAAGTGCAAAAGGTGGGTCACACTAGCTGTTGATGGTTAAGTTTAAGCGTCGACTGGACAGTGATTCTCAGTGGTTTGGCAATTATGTGATAATGTAATCATGCTCCATTTTGTGATCCCATGTGGTCATCCTCCATTTGTACCTAATGCCTCTTTTCTTACAATAACCTGGTCTTTGGAACCTAGCCATGTCACTTAGTGAGGAAAGGGTGTATTTGTTAAGGGAAAAAGTTTTTTTTAAGTTTTAATGTCCATCAAAAACAGCTAGATGTATTTATTTAAAATGGGAAGTCTTAAGTCACTGGAGAGTTTCAGAATTAATTCTATAGCCTAAATAAATTACACCTAACCCTAAAATAAAAATAATTAAAGGATTGAGTGTGTAAATGTGAGCCCCTTATATTTACAAATATTAATTCATAAACATTTATTGAATTACTTGCCATGAGCCCAGGTACTGTGTAAAAGCAAAGGGTTACACATAAATTACTCAAAAATATTCAAAAATAAAATCGATTCGACTTGAGGACCAAGTATGTTTCTACTAATAAATATCAGAGAAAAAGTCAATTTTGGACTAGTTGAATTTGAATTCATTAGCATTATTTTGCAGTATTCCTTAATTCTAGGTAGAACTTTCTAAATTTAGGTTTCAAATGTTTAATTACTTAATGTTTTTATATTTTGAACTTATAAACCATAGGAAGAAGATGCTAAATCAGTAGAAACTGTGGAAAAACAAGAAGGGAAAAGAATCAGGACTACAAAAACAAAACAAGCAAGCAAGTATGACTTCTGTGTTGTCATTTTTATCTGTTTTGTTTCTCAAAATTAGATTTGAGAAGAGACTAATTTCAAAAGGGAAATTGAGTTGATCAGAAAACTTAATTTTAGGAACATTTTATAAGCACTGATCCCATAACATTGTTAGATTTTATTGGTGAGGGTGAATTTTTCTATACAGCATGAAACCTGTTCTTTTTAAGAAGGGTAATGGGGTGGGACTGTTTAGTATTTAGTGGATCTTTTTGCTTATTCAGTGAGTTGGGGGAGAGGGGAGGGTGTAGTTTATTAACCTTTTAGTTAGTAAAGATGGGTAGTTTTTAGTAAGATGATAAATCTTGAATTGTTTATGTATAATTGACTTTGTGTATATGTAGAAAACTACTTCCTAATTGTGGAACTTACTAATTGCTGGTATTTGAAAATTGTCATTTTTACTATAATTATAATGCATGGACTGACTAGTACTTAGCCCGTCCCTGTAACCTCGTAGTATTTATTAATTATTGTTGGTGTTAGTTTCCGTTGAGTTGATTCTGATTTATGATGACCCTACGTGTGGAGAAGGAGCTCTGGTGGTGTAGTGGATAGGGCATTTGGCTGCTAACCAGAAGGTCAGCAGTTCAAACCCACCAGCCACTCTGCGGAAGGGAGATGGGGTGATCTACTTCCATAAAGATTTACACCCTCAGAAACCCAATGGGGGTTGTTATGAGTCAGACCCAACTTAATGGCAGTGAGTTTGGGTTTTTTTTTTTTTTTTTTTCAGTTTTTTCTATGTGTGCAGAATAGAGCTGTTCCATAGGGTTTTTGTGTTAGACTGGGTTCTCTAGAGAAACAAAAACCAGTAAAGCTTATATAGAGAGAGAGAAGTTGTCTTAGGAAAATGACTCACACACGTACAGCAGCTGGCAAGTCCAACGTTCCTGGATCAAACGTCAAGCTGGAGGCTTTTCCTGGCTCTTGCAACCACAGGGTCTGAGGAGCTCAAGGCTGGCAGGCAGTACACTGGCTGTTGACTCCAACAAATGACAAATCCAAGATCTCTAGGCCGAATGGTGGATTGTTCACTCACGGACAGTTGTAGGCAGCACAGCAGAATCCCGATCCACAGAAGAATGTCTCTCTTCCCAGAATGTCCTTAGACATACTGGAAGCAGGCCACACCCCTAGGGAAACTCCCCTTCAACAGATTGGCCACTCAGAACATAGTCATCTGATCACATCATGGGAACAACCACACCACAACAGCTCAAACCACACAGAATTTTGTGTAGTTAAAGGATCCAGCCAAGTTGACACACAGCTCCAACTATCACAGTTTTCAAGGCTGTGACCTTTTTAAAGAAGATAGCCAGGCCTGTCTTCCAAAGAGCCTCTGAGTGGGTTTTGAACCACCAACTATTAGGCTAGTAGTCAAGCATTTAACTGTTTGTGCCACTCAGAGACTATCTTGGGCTAGTATTTATTAATATATACGAAATATTTCAAGGAAAACTCAGCAATAACTGTTTTTAAATATTCAAATCAGAAAGAACTCTCCTCAAGTGAAACCTTGGTTCTAATTCTAACTCTGCCTTGAATTAGCTTCACTTCATTTCTTAAAACTGTTCTCTGTTTTATAAAATGAAAGTACTAGACAAGATAATTCTTAAGATTTCTTCAATATGTTAAAAATCCAATTATATTTTATAGTATATTATCTTTATTTTTACTTGAATTATATCTTTTTTTACAGAAAAACAGAAAAAGAAAGTTCTTGGTCACCTCCTCCAGTAGAAATTAAGCTGATTTCTCCCCTGGCAAGCCCAGTTGATGGAATAAAGAACAAACCAAGAAAGACAACAGAAGTAGCAGGAAAGGTGCTTGGAAGGAGCAGAAAGAAACCATCATCCTTTCCAAAGCAAGTTTTACGCAGAAAAATGCTGTAATTTTCCACATCTGTTTGTAAAGTCATCAGAATTATGTGGATTATTAAAATCACCTAATTTGGAAGTAAATAATTTATATAAATTATTGTAAATTTTGTAAACAAAAGATCTTCAGTAAGTAAATAACTCCATATGGAGTATGATTCTTTTAGTCACAGGCATTTTTTCTATTTTATATTTAGACTTCATACCTTTATATAATATGTAAATATGGCTTAATATTGGAATGTTAAATAAAGTGTATACTTCAGAGTAGTTTGTGTCTGTAGATTTTTCAGAGGGGATTCTGTTTTAATAATGATTTTGTATGCTAATAAGTATTGATCCTATTTTCTTTCTCTACAGTGGAAGTATTAAACCCATCTTAAAATAAGGATGATTTAACTATTGTGTGTTTTTGGGGTCTTTATAGTTGCTATTTTATAATTTATGCACTTTGCTTCTGTGATTGAGATTTCTAATCCAAAAGTGTTTTTTTTTTTTTCTTTCTCTTTTTGGCTGTTCTATGTTGAAATTGAATTATGGGCATGATATTTTGCTGCCTTTTTGTATAAGAAGTTTTGTGTAATCTACCTCAGTAATGCATTGGTTAACTATAATGTAGGTATTTCTTATTCCACAAGCTCAAAAGCTCTTTAACTTTAAAGTCTCTTAATTATTCAGAGACTGATTATCCAGGTTAGATTGACCGGTTCACTGCTCACTAGCAATTTCATAAATTTGAGAAGGGAAGGAAATGTAAAATAAATCTGTTTTGTGGTTATTCAGTACACTTTGTATGTGCCTCATACCAGAACAATGAGAAATCCAAACAAATTTTATAATATGAATATGATTTCTTGGTTTGAAGGAACTTGCTACTGAATCATAGAAATCTTTTAATATTCAGCTTTTAAAACTGGCAAATTCTTATGGGACCTCAGGCACAAGACTTATGAGAATGGGGGAAGTGTGAATAAGTGTGGAAACAAGAAAAAAACAAAAACACATTGTAGTATGACTGTATAATTAAATGGTGATACTTGATGTAGGCTATGAAATTCATCAATAAGTAAGTGTTGTAAAATAATTTATAGCAGGTAATTGATAGTACGTAATGAATGGACCATTAATAATTAATTGTCTAGAAACAAACTGCTTTTGTTGCTTAAGCTTTTAATGTTTCAGCTTGAAGCATAAGCGGTTTGCTTTAGACATTATTTTTCTACCAAATAACAGTAACATTATTACATATGGTGAGAAAATGATGACAATGCCTATGCCAAGTATTGACAGTGTGAAAGTAGCAGTGCGAGTGCGGCCTTTTAGTCAGGTCAGTGTAAATGTTACATTGCCTTGTTGAAGATTTGACTATGCTTTGATTTTATTAATGTTTTTCATGATAGTTATCAAACTTGTATTTAAACTGCTTGTCATTTACGGAATATTAAATTTATTTAAATGAACTTTTTAAATGCATAATTTAAAGATCTAAACATCATTCAGTAGACAGTTTGATTCCTTTGCGCAAGTAGCACAATAAAAAAATGATGAGAAAAATGTACTGTGAAGTTAATAATTTTTAAACCAGTGCAATTTGTGTGGTATCTATTGCAAATTTACTTTTTCCCCAAAACTTAGTTCTGTAAGTCATAAGCAAACAAATTGCCAATTTTGAACTCTATAGCATTAGCTATATTTATGTAACTTTTGTTTTTAATACTGTCCATTAAAATGTGTTGGTTTTTATTTTTTTTTTTAAGATAAAACATGACACATTTTAGTGAAAATTAGGAATTTTCCTCATTCGAGACCTTGTAGCAATTCCATATCTTTTGATTATCATTATATTTTAAGATAGTTCTGAACAACTGACTCATTTGACAAACTTTTAACTATCTGCTGTTGATCCAGTGCTGTACTAGATACTGAGGGTTCAAAGGAAAATTCTTTGTTTTCCATCAGCTTAACAGTCGTAAATCTTAATTTTTTAAAAAAATAATTGTCATCAGTTCCAGTGAGAAGCAGATCAGTAGAGCCCTTCACACTGTCAGGCAGGCAGTTGATCTGTCCACTGCTATGGTTATTGATGTTGTTGTTGTTAGGTGCTGCTGAGTCATACTCGACTCACAGCGACCCCTCCTTGGGTTTCTGAGGGGGTATCACTACAGAAGTAGATTGCCCAACCTTCCTTCTGAGGAGTGGCTGATGGGTTTGAACCGCCAGCCTTCTGGTTAGCAGTCAAGTGCCTTAGGCACTACGCTACCATTGTAAATAAGCTCTAGAGAGCAAGCTATTCTCAAAAACTTAATATAACTAGAGACAAGCCTTTCACAAATTCTGAGGGAATGTAAGAGCAGCTGCATACTATGATAGCTATTAAGGATAACACAATTAGAGAACAAAATGAATCATGAATTCCCAGCTTAATTTCTTACTAGGTAAAAAGACTTGCAAAACAATTAAATGGATAAGAAAGAAAAACGATAATGATTGATTTTGAATTTGTAATTTGACTACAGAGAGAGAAGAATTCTAGGAGCAAATGTGTGATTTCCATGCTTTCCAAAACTACCACCACTATACAGGACCCCAAGAATCCAGAGCACGTGAAGACATTTACCTTCGACCTAGCCTATTGGTCTCACAGTGGATTTCAAAAGGATAAAGATGGTGTACTTATTTCAGCTGATCCTAGCAGTAACTTTGCAGGCCAGGTATATTATTTTGAAACACAGTTTCACTGACAGCTTTTTTTGATTAAATATTCACAATGTTGTAGTACAATAATTTTTGTACAAGCTTGCTTTATCATGTGCTTCCATATAGAAAGTTTGTCCCTACTTAAAATTTATACTTATTATTATTTTTATTTTTATATTTAACATGAGATCCAAAAATGCAGCTTATTGCCTGTCATGGGAATTATCTAAGGAGGTTAAAACTTCCTCCTGAGTAGTTAATGGCAGCCAAAAAAACTTCCCCAGAGGTGTAGGCGGAGACATGAATGCTTATTCAGAATAGAAACAGAACCAGGAGAGAAAGGATTGAAAAGCTAAAAGAAAGCAGGCTTATAAACCTTGCTAGCAATTCAGCATCCATTAGCAGGCTACAGTAGATCCAAGATGACTAACCTCTCCCACTTTGCAGGTTTGACGAATTGGGGAGTGGGAGCTGTGTGACTGGGAATGGAGGGCTACATGAAATGACTAGCTTCAGATTTGGTGGCAATGGGTACCTATTGGGAGGGGGCCCTAGACCACACCACCTGTGCTCTGATAAGATGCTGCCAGCTCTAGCAAGTCTTATTGCTTAAAACTGCTAAGGATGAGTTAAAACATTACGAAAGTTAGTATCTGAAGAGGGAAGCACAGGGATACATGACAGACAAGGAGAAGAGAAATGGCTTGCAGTTTTTACAAGCGCGGCTAAATAAGATGGGATCTGAGAGCCATTTTTGGAGGGGGTTGCAGTTACTGATTATACATTGCTTGATTTTTAGATACCCAAATTGGTTGACTTGCCAAAATGCGGCACACTTTGAAAAATGAATGGCAGTAAAGTTAAATTTTGTCTCTCTGAGCTAAGCAAAATTGGCAAGGCACTCAGCTTTGAGCCTTTTTTTTTTTTTAATATATATCAAGCATTTATCATATGCCATGCACTGTTAGAGTTCTTTCTTCAACTTGCTCAGGTATAAATGAATTTAAATATTAGAGATTTTGTGATAAAAATTTGTATGGGTTACGAAGGGGAAGTAGTCATTTCAATCTGGACAAAGAGTATCTTAAGTGACATTTTAATGAAGGCTATGGTGCTTGAGCTGAATTTTGAGGGTAGTAGATAAATAAAGAAGAACAGACAGAAAATGGGAGTTAGTGACTCACAGGTCAATGACCTGTGAGACAATGTCAAGCATACATGAAATTGTAGTCACGGAACAAAGGAGAACAGAAAATACTTGATGAAATGATGGCTGAAACTTTTCCAAATTTATGAAAACTGTAAATGCATAGATCCAATAAGCTCAATGATCCCTAAGTGGAATGAAAATGAAAACACAACAAGGTACATTTTAATTAAATTGCTGTAAACCAGTAATAAAGAGAAAATT